AAAAACTTGAACGGGCCAAATAAAAATTAAGCCGAACCATGGAAAAAATGCTACTTTTAAAATTCCATGAACATAAAATAAATAGGCTGGGTTGTCCCTTAGGGTTCACCATACTTCGTAGTAGGCTGCGAAATCCACAATTTTTTTTTTGCCACTCTCAGAGAAAAGTTTCTTGCTAACCAATCACGTGGTATATTTGAAATAAACTGATTGGTTTAGGACAAAATTTTAATCAACAAAAACTTTACTTTGAAAGCGGGGAAAAAGAAATCATGGTTGTGAGTTGGCACGGTCTACTGGGAAGAGTAGCATAAATTGGAGCTGAATTTCGTGCACAGCGCAAGCTTCGTTTTATTTGGGAGGAGAATTGAAGCAATTGCAAAATAGTTGCTTGGAAGGAAAGTTCTAATCTACTAGGTTCCCAAAATTTGATCTAAGGCCGTTACGGTGCCCCTCACCCGCCCCAACCCCCCACCCCCCTCCGGGGGTAAGATTTTCATGATCTTACTTAAGATCAGAAGTTCTGCTGGATATTCAGAGTATTCAGGGTGTCACCTCAGTTTCTTCGGAAAATGAAGTGTAACTATGAAGCTAAACGATTTTGGATATCTATTACGGAAAAGAAAAAAGTCTGAACTATTTTGATCTTCGGTTCTTATGCAACTTATATTACACTCGGCAGGGCAGTCCATCGTTTTCATTAGCCAAACGATATTACCTTATTGATGTTTAGCACCGAGCCGATGTGCACCGAGCTCGGAAGTGTAGCAGCCATGCCCGTAAGCTTGTAATTCTCTTTGTCCTCATACATTGCAGCAGTCGTTATTGGTTTGGGGCTAGGGGCATTTTTTTCTATCGTCTGTTAAGTTTTATTAGTTTTCTCAAAGGATATCGAGCCATTCATGTGAGGCCTTACGAGAGCTGTTACCTGACCCCCCCGAGCTAGGCTTTTTTCAATTTGGTTTTTACAAATCTTCACTGTCGAAAGCCTTCATCGTCAACTTCTCTAAACGCAAACTATTTTCAACGAAATATTGTAACCACTGAGGATAATTTTTAACTCGAACCTGACACACGTATTAAATTCGCTTCAGCACTCACACGCATCCGAGACTGCTCAGAATAAAAATTGAACTTCACTTGATAGTTGTAGGTTTTAGCGAGTCGAAGTCGGTTCACAGTAATAACTTTTTAAGATCACCCTTTACATAGATCTCATATTTAGTTTGTTGCGATTTCCTTTAAAAACACACGCGNGTTACCTGACCCCCCCGAGCTAGGCTTTTTTCAATTTGGTTTTTACAAATCTTCACTGTCGAAAGCCTTCATCGTCAACTTCTCTAAACGCATACTATTTTCAACGAAATATTGTAACCATTGACGATAATTTTTTACTCGAACCTGACACACGTATTAAATTCGCTTCAGCACTCACACGCATCCGAGACCGCTCAGAATAAAAATTGAACTTCACTTGATCGTTGTAGGTTTTAGCGAGTCGAAGTCGGTTCACAGTAATAACTTTGTCCGTTTTTCTACTTTTTAAGATCACCCTTTACATAGATCTCATATTTAGTTTGTTGCGATTTCCTTTAAAAACACACGCGGTGTCAAGGAGGTTTTTCCTGGGCAAGAACATCCAGAAATGGCGCAAAAGAAACCTGGCATCTCTAAGTCAAAAATCGGGACTTTGAAATTTGTTAAACAGTAAAAAAAAGTATATACATATATATAAAACTCGTTAGGGATATCTTTAGCTACATATAATCGTACCAGATTAATACTAACAACTTACCTTTCCAAGCTGGGCGATAACACCAAAAACGGTTTGCTGGTAAATCTGGGAAGCGAAATGAGTCCCAAAGCAATGAGAAGAAATGAAATCAGCAAAACAATCCGCTTTCGAAATTGCATCATAACTGTAGCTGCAACAGACTGGGAGCGTTGAAAAAGCGTTGTCTGCAAAATGAAGATATATTATAAATATAATGAATCAAATATCTTCCTCGACCATTGTAGCTAACAGCGAGTGTTGTGAACGGCAGAAAAACAACTGAGCTTTGATCAAACTGAGCTTTGATCACGAAAACACATTCAAAGGACTGTTTACGACTGAATTTCAATAGAGCTCGTTGTTTGATAGGTTGATTTAAATAAATAATATATCTTCTTCAGCCCTCCTGCAGATGGAATCCACGTTTCTTTGTTTCCTCCAACATCTTTTACTAACATCTGTCTTTTTCTGACACAATGGCAATTTCGATACGACTAGCTGAAAACAGAAATGGAAAGCGAGAAGGAAGCACTTTACAAGGGGTACGTAAACTGCCCGGAGAAAAAGTGAGATAAATTTAATAAATTCTCCATGTTTTCTGTGATTTGTACGCCGTGTAAGCCAAAACCGACCAAGTTATATTAATGCCATTAGTTTCCACAGAAAATCTTCAAAACAGCAGGTTCATTTTCTTCGTGAGATTTGTCAGGCAAGGAGATGGTGTCTCAAAGTCCTGCACGGCGTCCCCCTGTGTATAGTTGTTAGAACTATTTCTCTAAAAGATAAAAGTTTTATATTTGTGGTATAGCTCAATTCTTCCTCTAGTACCCCCTTAGATTCCCAACAGAAGAACAATATGTATTTGTCTTTCTTGCGGCCTTTCAAAGACAGTAATTACTTAAAGCATCAAACCAACTCAACCAAAACAATTGCTATAAATCAACCATGGTATAATATCCCTTCACTCTTAACGTGTCCATGTCATCGAGTTTAAATTGCTGTTTTCTAAGGTTAAATTCCATGCGCTAATAGATCATCCCAGTGTCACTAAAGAAATTTGGTATAAGGACAAGTTTCGCTTATGAGAGAATGTCAATTTAGTTAAAGAAAGTATTTTGCGTTCTGAGCGGCTGCCAACGGGCTGAACCGCAAAACAGTACCTTCTGGTATTGATAAAAAAAAAAGAGAAGTTTCCTGTTGCACTAAAACAAATAAGCCTGTTCGATTCCAGGCTCTCGGTCGATGAGAGTCTGCGACAAATAATTTCATTCATGATAATTGCTACCCTACCCCCTTGAAAAGCAAGTGGCCGATATGTTCAATCATTCACATGTTCGAGAGCTATAGTTAAGTCAATTGAAAGGTGAATCGTTGCACAGCTCTACATTTAAAAAAACATATACCGTTACAACAACGTGTCATCGCATTTCGCTCTTGAGTAAACGCACCAACCATTTTTGAGTATGTAGCCTAGTGAACTATAGTTCATCTCCGCCGAACGTCTATGCCGTACACTGTGACAAAGTGATGCAAACACAAACTCAGGTTAAGTGGTATGTTAGCGGTATGACCGACAAATTATCAATGACAGGGAAAGTGTATGCATGTTAAATGACACAGAAATTTAGAACTGATGCAGTTTTCTTTATATCCTTTTGCCTTATTACAAAATTTGGCTCGATAGAATGATGTATTCTTTGTATGCCACGTGAAATAAACACTACCAGCCGCAAAACTGCTTTACAAAATCGGAACCGAAATTGGAGAAAATTCAATTGCTAATCCGTTAAGTGATAACATTAGCCGGCAATCTTAGTGGTACTTTTTCGAAACGCCATCGCTTTGATGCCATTTTTTCTTTCGGCAACTACTGGCGACGAATGTCAAGCGCAGATCACGGAATATGGCCGACGTGGAATTCAAAGCCAAAGCGACAAAATTGAGAATGGAAAACTCACCTTCCTGCTGCCGGCAATGACCCTTCGTATCGTTTCGTGTTCGTCCTAAACCATGAAGGAAGGAGGTTGAAAAAAAGCGGCAAACAGTCGAAGCACTAAATAGTATATGCAAATCGTGTCTTACTCTCGAAAATAATAGGTCACGCTTGAAAAACTTCAAATAGCACGTTTACCCTAGAGGCGTTTCATACGGCTTTGTAACTGAAGGTTGTTTATACTTCTGCAATAACCCAAATGCGTTTAGAATGCCGAACTCCAAAACTTGAAAAACAGAAATGACAGAGAAGTTTAAACTGCTCTAAGAAACTAGGGAATTTTCAATCAGAATTAACAGAAATCGAGTCTCAAACTGAAAGACGACATGGTGCAACCGCAAACGGGAAAATAATTTCTAATTATCTGAGTATATCTTCAACCGAATTGTTGATTCAAGTGAAATTACTAAGTAGCTAATCGTGATGTTGCCACGCTGCAAACTATTTTGTTTGAATATTAATGTTATCCATTATTATACTTACAGCTGTTTAAATATTTTTGTTGTAAGGCATTTTACTAAATCATCTTGCAACCTGTTTTTTATTCCGTTTATCCTTAATTAATGCGATATAACAATGTTATCCTATTTTATCTTATCTCTCTTCCTTTGAATTGAAGAGCCCAAAAAGCGTCAGGGTAGGAGACTACTTCATACGGCACTCCTGAACAATTGCACCTGTAAAAAGAATTAAGTGTGCTAGTATGTCCCTTATACCTTTCCGTTGTCAAAGTGTGTTAACTAATATGAATTTTAAATATTTTCTAACCTCTCTGTGGTATGAGTATTTCATGAGTGTTTCAGAGAAAAGATGCTATCGAGTTCGGTCATTTTTTGCTTGCTTTTGGGCTATATCTCTGAGTTGTGGAATCTATTGTAGTGGGATTTCGGATATTGTAGTTGGTTATTGCGCATGCTGTTGCTTTTTGTAGTTGGATGTCTTTTGAATCTCTTGCTTCACGTCATTTGGCGATCACACCATCCGCAACAGCGTAATCGCACCAAAAGAAAATGAGGAACCAGGCTGATATGCGGCCATCTCGACGGCCATCTTGACCGCGAATACGTTTTGCAAAGAAAGGCAAATTATACGGCAAAGGTAAATTCTGCGTCGGGTCAAGTTGGCCGTACCGCTTCAACTTATCCAGGTTCCTGTAGCATGAAGCGACTAGGGATATTCCTACTCCCCCCTAGATGGGATACTGGTCTATTGCAGGGTTACCGCCAGTATTGACTTCGCCTGTATATGTACAAATTTATACACCTGATAGAGGAGAGGCCGGTTGTGAGAGTAGTGTCTTGCACAAGAACACAGCGAAATGTACTCGAATTCCGACCGCTAGGCCCAGAGTCCACCGCGCTAACCATGAGGCCACCACGTGCGTCAATCACATTATTTGGTACATGGTATATGAATCACGATTTGGAGTCTAAGAGCCTCAGAATCAACCGATCAGCGCAGCATGGAGTGAAAAGGCGTTTAATCCTGGGAGGGGGTAATCTTTTACAAAGGTTAAAAATTAGAAATGTTCGGCGCCAATGGTTATGGTTTGGAACCGCTTGGGTCTGAATAGCGTATAAACTTCGACCATTTCAGTATGAAATGATTATAAATCAAGAAATTTGAAGCCCTTCCTTATATAATAAACGGAAGTCATTCCTGGTTAGCTGAGTGCATGCATGTGAGGCGTGCACTCAAAGAGTATCGATTTTAGGCTCAGGTATAAAATAAGGTATCGAACATAAAATATTTTGGTGGGAAACAAGTTAAGGGCTTCAAGAAATTAAACATGC